GAAACTTTTGTCTTTTCTTTTTGATCCACCCTGCCTCGGTGGGATATGGCCGGTGCATTGAAAAAAGAACATGTGCTCTTACTTTGTTAGACTTTGAACTCTTTACAAATACTTGTGTAGAATCTTTTGGTAATGCTATGCAAGTTAGTTCATCACACAGCGACCGCCAAGATCCACATATTCTCGGCTCTTTATATACCCCCATCTACATCTTGTAGAGGACGTTGTTGGAAAAGCCTTCCCACGCTGAGAAAAGTTCATTTATCAACAAATTAATCTATCAACAATAAAAGTTAGAATTATCACTTAGGCAGCATATGCCCAATTTTGTTTGTCATCAGGCAAATAACATCCAAATACCAGGTCACAATTATTATAATCAAAAAGGACAACCTATAAGAGCCATACAGAGCTGCCAGGCAGGGAAGGATGCAGGAGTAATGGGTAGCAAGGAGAGGGATAATTATTAGGTCATGGAGTGAAGCAGGGCATTGGATAGTGCAAGGGTAGAGGGTAGCAAGAGATTGAGGTAGAAAGGGTCGTGATAAGTATCAGAGCTTGTGCAGTAAATCAGTTGCTGTCAAAAAGTCAACGAGAGTGTCTGGGTTAAAGGAGGGTCCATCAGCAAGAAGGGAAGGTAAAGTAAGGGCATTAGAGCGGTGACAACGTGGAGGTAAGTCTGCATGCTCGTTGATAGAGTGGGCAGTCCAACAATGTGGCTAACAGAAACTGGAACCCAACAATTCTCAGAGTGGAACAGGACCCCTCTCCATGAGATACCCGTGAATAAGACTAGTGTGGCCGATGCAAAGACAGGAAGAGTAGTCTTCCAACCTCGACACTGGTAAGACAGCCAGAAACCTATATACTCAGTTTAATAGAAGATCAGACCAAAGTTCTTGCCAACGGGCACGAAGGTGGGTAGCAATATAGTTACAGGAAAATAGTCTGAATGGAACACACCTATACGAAACTGGTAGGTCATGTACTGCTGACCGCGCAGCAGTGTCTGCCTGTTCATTGCCCTGTATGTCAACATGACCAGGGACCCAAACAAAAAACAATATCTTTATGCTTGCTAGAGATACGGTGTAACCAAAGTTGGATACAAAGAACCAAGGGATGAGGTGAATCAAATTTTCATATTGTAAAACACTAAGGGAGTCTGAAACTACCACAAATGGTGACGGGCATAGATGCAATATGGATAAGCGCTACAAGAATGGCATACAATTCAGCTGTAAAAATGCCAGCCAGGGATAATAAATGCCCTCACATGATGCTGTCTAGAAACACCGCTGCAAATCTGATGCGTCAGAAAACTTGGAACCATCAGTGTATGCTGTGATGGCACGAGAATGAAATCAGAAGTGGTTTAGAAAAAGAGCGAGAAGCCACCGTAGGCACTTGGGCTTTCATGCATAGCAGTGGGAAAGAAACACTAACCATCGCAACTTCCCAAGGGGTAGGGAAAAGTGAGATGCTACATGAACACAAAGGTGGTAGCTTAAGAGAAGACTAAGTGTGATTGTAGGTGAAGAGAAAAGGGACGGAGTAAACAGGTACAACGAACAAAGAGCATCTACTATCAGTGACTATCCCATATGTGAAAGGACTACGGAGGTCATGAGAGTGAACATAATAGTGAAGGCAATGAGCATTATGGCGATGAGACAAGGATGGAACATTCGCCTCTGCATAGAGGCTCTCAATCAGTGAAGAGCGAAAAGCACCGAGGCAGAAACAATCACTGGTAATGGATGGAATTAACACTATAGTTACAGAAGAGGCCACTGAATATATCTGGTCATGATAATCGAGTTCCGATAAAATTAGGGTTGAACGTAGTCGAATAGTTCTACGAACAGCCCCCCCCCCCCATGAAAGACGAGCGAGGGTTTTAGGGGGGCTCAGCCGGCTATGACAAGTTGCCTCCAGAAAGATAATGTGAGGTTTCCAGGATAACCTACAGTCAAACAGAAGGCCTAGAAACCTGACTAACACATTCTGGGATATGAGAACCATATACGTACGTACAATGGATGATCAGAGACGACAGAAGGTCTAGTGAAAGTAATTTGGCAAGTTTTAGTACTAGAAAATTTAAACCCGTGCATGGTGGCCCAATTGGAAATACTGTTGACCACATGCTGGAGAGAAACTGCAATGAGGTGACAGTGAGTGCCTGCACAAGCTATAGCAAAGTCATCAACATAAAGCGAAGACCAAATACGTATTGGATGGAAGAACAGAAGCCAGATCATTTACAGCAAGGAGAAAAAGTGTTGTGTCCAGAACACATCCCAGAGGGGGGGGGGGACACCATCAGCTTGGACAAAGTCCGGGGAAAGCATATTAACCCGAACACGGAAATGTCTTTCAGTCAAAAAGTTCTTAAGGAAAAATGGTAGATTGCCTCAGAAGCCTAAGGAGTGGGCCTGGGCCAAGGTATTATACCACCATGTAGTGTCATCCCTTCAAGGTCAAAAAAGATGGCGATAACCGAGTATTTTATTGACAATGGTATTACGGACATGCATATCTAAATGTAATAAGGGGTCCAAGGTAGAACGACCCTTATGAATGCCATATTGACAAGTGGAGAGACTGTAGTCTCTAAATACCACATAAAACTTCTATTTACTAGACTCCACCTTGCAAACTGCACTGGTAAGAGCAATGGGACGATAGTGGGAGGCATGATGTCCCGTAGTACCCGGTTTGCGGAAAGGGAGAACGACAGATGTCCACAGCTGGGGAAGAACCTCCTTGTGACCAAACAAGATTCCTCTCTGATAGAAAAGTTCAAGGGCTCTATATCTCTGGCAGACTATGAGGAACAAAACAAGGGGAATAGACGAAGCCCGAGAGATACAGACAAGATAATTACCAATTTTGGTGGCAACATCATGAGTATGCAATATCAACACTGGCAACCCGAAGAACAGAAGCCAGGTCAGGAGAGTATTTACCACTATTTCCTCACTTGGCTGAACACTTGTGTGGTCCCACCTGCAGGCAGGGAGGACACCAGTGTCTACTTTGAGGATTGAGAGGTCTTTGAGTTCTAGCTGTTTCAGAATGTCATCGCCACATGTCTGGAAATTCTGTTGGAGAATGGTATGGGGCAGAATGACAGTACCACTGCAAGAATTGAGGGAATGATGTTTTTAAATAGTTACAAGAATAGTATTGATAGTTGTAAGGAGAAAAAGATCATGAGCTTGGTTAGCATTCTGGATAGTGTTAATGCGTGTACCAGTCTTGAGAGCATGAGAGGATACATCTCTACCAATATGGCATAGGAGCGCCTTGCCTGCCAGTACTATGGTCGGAAAGATAGACGGTAGAGGAAGTTGGTCGTAGAGTAAAAAACTTAGTCCATTGTGTATTTTCAAACATAGCATGTAAAGGGAGTGCGTGACATGCCAGTCTTTTCTGAGTAGAATGAGAAGGAAGCGAAGTATCATCAGGTAATGGTCTTGGGCGTTTAGGAGTGGGACCGAAGTAGGTCTAGTGTGGGACGGGCAAGCAGTCCAAAAATTGCCGTACAGTAGAGGGGGAAGCTGGAAGCAGTCAAAGCAGAGGTCAGACATCTAAGGAGTCAGTCAAAACGCTGGTACCTGGAGGTGTCGAAACTGCACCAGCAGGAGGTACGGGGGCATTAGAAATCTCCGAAGAGTGGTCAAATAATGAGGCAGGGTCAGAACAGGGTGTAGTATCAGGAAGGGGCCCAGGGGGGGTAGCAGGTTCATGGATTGGGAACTCCATGGTTAGGTCGCTTTTTTTTAGAAAAAAAAAAATAAAGAATAAAAGAAAAAAGGAGGGAACGTGGAGGAATAGCTCCTAGGAGGAATGAAAGGGCCATAAATCTCCCTCCGCGCCTAAGAGGACCTCAGCACCGCAAGTAGTGCAGATGCAGCATGGAACCCGTGCCATACCCTACCCTTCATGCCAGTAAACCAGCAATCTGGGATAGCAACCTCACATCCACCAAGCCACCTCGGTGGATAAGAGGGGGCAACCAGACACCCACCACAAAGTATACCTCCTTCGGCCACCACCACCCCCTAGAATCCAACAGGCACCCTACAGAGAAACACCTCGTAACCCAAAAGATACCCAAAGCCACCCCGGGAAACCAGAGAGGAATCAGGACACCTACAGGTGATCCAGATTCCACGGCCAACCACACCACCACCAAGGACCTCAACGGAATGGGATGAACCCCAGTACCCTTCCCCCTACCTAGGAACTAGAGTGCCTTTAGGAAGAGTCCCAAAGGCTGAAAATAGGAAAGGAATATGGGAAGATGGGATAGGAAAGGGGGGACTGGGGGGCAATTAGATTCTGTCTGAGGAAGGAGGCCAAAAGGTCTATTTCCTCAGACCAAGAGCCACTTTACTACACCAGGGAGGCCCCCATCCCTTGAAGAGCAGGTCACAAGACCTGCAGTACACCACCGCCCAAGAAATGACCACCATATACCCTCTTGTCTGAGGCATGATCACCAAATACCCACACGTTTGAGGCATGGTGATCATTTCCCAACAATACTTCCTGCTTCAGAGAAGAAATCTGCTCAGAAGAGATTTTGTCTATGCACACACGATGTCCACAAAAGTGCCGAGACATTTTGTGAGTGAATGTAAAACACCAATGTGTATAACACCATATTTCAAAGAGTCACAAATTGGAACAGTTCTAGGAACATATCCATCCAGTACCTACATATTTTAATGTCAAGTATCTGTTTACTTTTATGTATATATTAAACAGTAGTAACAGGGTTTGAGTTGTGATAAAGTATTCTGCATCAGATGTCATCATTTTCAAATGACAAGAAAGCATTTTATCACAAAGTTCCTTGTTCTTTCCTTTGGCTCTACCCAGGCCATAGGAATCTATATAAAGAAAAAGGTTTCCATGCCTAAGCCACTTTTTGCTTCAACATTGTGCTATTAGACCTTGGTCTAAAAACTGATCTAATTAATAATTACCTGTGCAGTCTCCAAGACCTCTTTCAATGTACCAAGATAAAGCCTTTGCCTGGGTACATGGTCACATGATGCAGGTTATTCTCAGCAGCTGATCCATGGTCGGGTTACCAGTGTGTAACTGAAAAAAGTGCAGTAAAAATAAGACTATAATGGCATATATCAACAGGTTTGGGCATAAATATTAAAGTTTACCCTCTGTGTTTCGGTCGTATGTGTGTCTTACGAACCATTGTGTTTGACGTATACTCAAAAATTCTAGTGGCTTCAAATCAAGTGGGAGAATGCTGGTAGGCCCACATGTGAGAGAATGGGTCTGTGTGCACTGTATAAAAAAAATCCCACATCAAGCAGTGCATGAGAATAAAAACTGTTTTTGGATTAAAATGCCAACTTTGAGGTGTATTTTTGTGTAGTATTTATGCTTGCATTCTCGTTTTCTGTCTCTGATAGAATGGAAAACATTACAGAAATAGAGATGATTTTGATTGGTTTTACTATGAAAAGGATCTTGAAATGGATCTCAAAGTAGGGAAAATGTTTGAGTTTTGCTGATGTTCAAGAGTAAACAAATGCCATCATGCAGTCATGAATGGGTTAAATTATTTATACAATTATTACAATAATGCAGTAGTCTGCATAACAGTAAATCTTTTATTTTTTGTTTGAATAAAAATTCAAACTAGAAAGCAAGAGTAATATCAGAGGGGCCTGGAGACATGACTGATGAACAAAGAAAACGTTATTTTAGAGCCAGGAATGTCTGCACTGTTCATTATGGACCCTATTTTGAAATTGGTATATTTTTTAATTTGTGTGAAATTGGCCAAACTGCCAATTTCTGACCACTTTATTGGGTAGTTGAAATCGGTAAATGGGCAGTTTCTTGTACTCAATCAATAGAACAAATGGAGTTCTAAAATAGCCATGAGTTTGGTCGACTGGAACAATGGAATTAGCCGAAAATAGGGCTCAAGGTGGGCGAAATTGCAGATTCGTAAATATCGCCGAGGTCGCTAACTTCGCAAGAGCGCAATTCCACAAGTTTTCCATCAAATGTCATACTTTTGGTGTCATTACCATCAGGGAAAAGATTCTTTTTATCATTTCATAAGAAATTTTTTTTTTTTTTTTTTTCAATATTTTGCAACACCATGAGACACCTCAGGATTTGGGGGTGCAATAGTCAAAGGGTTAAAAGACAAGTGCAACTAATGTGATATTTGTGTCCTTTTACTTTACATATTTGTTGGTAATTCTATCAACATTAATACATAAACATTAGTTTATGTAGTAGTTCTTACTGGGATTATTTCTGTTAGAATTACAGTATCAAGTCATTCAGAGCATATATTTGAAACATACATGGAGATTGAAATGAGCTTATATGTCAGGTGCTTATCTGGATAGTGGAGCACTGCAGTCAACTTCCTGGTCCATTTTTAAGGTTAGAGCAAAATGGGCTGGGCACTTCCCATTTAAGATGTGCCAAGGGCTTTGTTAGGCTGACAGCCCTATGGTTGTGTTCAGTAGTATTTGCTGGTATATATATTCCCAACAGGCAACACTGCAGATCCATTCAATCAAAGCACTGGAGAAAGGCAGTACCAAAGTAGTAAACTTCAGAGCAAATGCACTTCATGACATACCAAACCTGGACACAAGTATCAAATACACAGGAGAAATGGCACAGTGTATTGGTGTCACGGAATTTGGAACACCAATCCTTTTGGGCTGCATCATTCATCAGTTTCAAGACTTTCTACTCCCACAGTCCAGCCCTAAACAATAGATTAAAAATTCCTAATAAAACCAGCTGTAGAAATTTATGAAAATTGAACCCTGGGTTAAGGTTTAACATATCTACACATTATGCAGGTGAATCTATGCCAAAAATGTTTTCTTCCTCTATAAATCAAAGTTAATATCACTCCAACTCATCCACAACAATTTATGAGTGAATAAACAATCTTTTTATTTACCTGCACTCAAAATTCTGGACTAAAATTTTATGTACAATCCTCGAGTAATGCTGTGCAAATCAATAAAGCAAGGAACATTCTTGGCCTGCTGCACACATCACTTACATCTTTTACATGACAGTTTAATAAGCTTTTCCAGGCTTACAGGCATATTAAGTGACAATACTAAACCCCTTAACTTGAGAAAAATTAATTTATCAGCAAGTTGCCCATCCCCCTTTACGACAGAGCCCTTCTCCACAAACACTAAAGGGCTACAATGCTTTAATTCAAGAATCTATATACCACCTCAATAATGGACAAAAACATCTTGAAAAGTATTGAAAGTAGGGAGAACAGACCTAGAAGACAATGAACATAACCAGGGCACATTAACTTACATGGGAAACACTCACTGGGCCAGTAATCAAATAGTTCAAAGCTAAATAATGGAGCAACAGGAAGACTGCAGTGCTCTTGTATCTGCTTTCCAACACCTGACAATTTCTACCTCTCCATAATGCCCTCTCACTTTATAGCTCAACTGAGCTAAATGTAATCTTAAACTTTTGTTCTACAGATACGTATTATACAATTAAAAATTGTCAAGCATGAATAAAACTGGGGCAAAACTTTATTCAGGAACCTTGACACTAGTGAGGGGCTCTTTGATTTAGGGAATTGGATCTGTGCTCAATTCCCTAAATTAATAATTATAATGAGCGAGCTTCAGTTCCCTAAATTAATAACAAGGAGCTTCAGAGCCCGCCAACTGGCGCAGTGCACTGTTTACCTCGCAGTGGAAGCATTTCTCTTGTTTTGCTTGCATTTTGTGTAGTTATTTTGTCAAATTTCTTTTTTCTGACGAAGTCCTAAGAATGTAAGTGTAAAGGACAGCACTGAGAAAAAGAGGATGTCATCCATGGAATTAAAGCACGAAATCATAAACACAAGCGAGAGGTGTGCGGGTTGAGGGAGGAAGCTTGCTCGTAACTCAGATTTTGGCTCTTAACTCAGAGCAAAAAACTGACCGAGCAACAGCTCGTATCTCAAAATACTCGTATGTTGGGGCACTCGTAAGTCGAGGTCCCACTATTTAAAGGCCAGCCAACAGGGACGGGACAAGAGGTAGTTGGAAGGGAAGCAGAGAGGTGGCGGCGGCAGAGTCAAAGATTAAGAGAGCACTGCCTTGGGTATGTGGTCCACTATTTTTTGCAGTTGTATTCTTGTTCCTACCCTTTGTGGGACCCCTAGCTCCCTTGCAGTGCTCCTCTCTATTAGTGGTGGTCGTCTACTTACTACTACTATTATTGTCCCATCCCTGTCTGCTGGCCTATATATACACTCCCTCCTCTCGTTTTTGTTTGCGAGACTTTGTAAATGATCCAAGTCGGACCAAAACGCCGTCAAAAGCTCCTCTCTCCTATGTGTGGGTTATTTGTGTATTGTTCCAGTCACAGTATCGTGTCTTTGGTACTTGCCCAAACTTGTCCGAACAAAGGTTCAGATGAGTTTGGGAGGATGTGTAAAAGATAAAAATTAAAAGTGAACATAGGAAAGAGAGGCAATGAGGGGAACAAAAAGTTTAGGTAATGAAAGATTGGATATCGGACTGGAAGGAGGGAGTATGGAAAAAGTAAAGGTTGTCAGATATTTGGGTGTGGACTTGTTGGTAGATGGGTCTACGAAAGATGAGGTGAACCATAGAACTGAAGGAGAAAAAGGCGAGTGGTACAATGAGGCATCTGTAGAGAAAAAGGATCATCAATGGAGACAAAAAGGGGAATGTATGAGAGTATAGTGGCACCAACACTTGTATGGTGTAGGAGGTAGGTTACTGAAAGCAGTGAAGAGTTTTTACGAGGATAGTGAGGCTCAAGTTAGAGTATGTAGGAAAGGGAAATTATTTCCCAGTAAAAGTAGGCCTTAGACAAGGATGTGTGATGTCACCGTGGTTTAATATATTTATAGATGGGGTTGTAAGAGAAGTAAATGCGAGGGTCTTGGCAAGAGGCGTGGAGTTAACAGATAAAGAATCACACACAAAGTGGGAGTCGTCACAGCTGCTCTTTGCTGATGACACTGTGCTCTTGGGAGATTCTGAAGAGGAGTTGCAGAGATTGGTGGATGAATTTGGTAGGGTGTGCAAAAGAAAATTAAAGGTGAATACAGGAAAGAGTAAGGTTATGAGGATAAAAAGATTAGGTGATGAAAGATTGGATATCAGATTGGAGGGAGAGAGTATGGAGGAGGTGAATGTATTCAGATATTTGGGAGTGGACATGTCAGCGGATGGGTCTATGAAAGATGAGGTGAATCATAGAATTTATGAGGGGAAAAGGGTGAGTGGTGCACTTAGGAGTCTGTGGAGACAAAAATTTGTCCTTGGAGGCAAAGAGGGAAATGTATGAGAGTATAGTTTTACCAACGCTCTTATATGGGTGTGAAGCATGGGTGATTAATGTTGCAGTGAGGAGAAGGCTGGAGGCAGTGGAGATGTCATGTCTGAGGGCAATGTGTGGTGTGAATATAATGCAGAGAATTCGTAGTTTGGAAGTTAGGAGGAGGTGCGGGATTACCAAAACTGTTGTCCAGAGGGCTGAGGAAGGGTTGTAGAGGTGGTTCGGACATGTAGAGAATGGAGCGAAACAGAATGACTTCAAGAGTGTATCAGTCTGTAGTGGAAGGAAGGCGGGGTAGGGGTCAGCCTAGGAAAGGTTGGAGGGAGGGGGTAAAGGAGGTTTTGTGTGCAAGGGGCTTGGACTTCCAGCAGGCATGCGTGAGCGTGTTTGATAGGAGTGAACAGAGACAAATGGTTTTTAATACTTGACGTGCTGTTGGAGTGTGAGCAAAGTAACATTTATGAAGGGGTTCAGGGAAACCGGCAGGCCGGACTTGAGTCCTGGAGATGGGAAGTACAGTGCCTGCACTCTGAAAGGAGGGGTGTTAATGTTGCAGTTTAAAAACTGTAGTGTAAAGCACCCTTCTGGCAAGACAGTGATGGAGTGAATGATGGTGAAAGTTTTCCTTTTTCGGGCCACCCTGCCTTGGTGGGAATCGGCCAGTGTGATAAAAAAAAAAAAAAAACTTGTATGGGTGTGAAGCATGGGTTGAGAATGTTGCAGCAAGGAGGCTGGAGGCAGTGGAGATGTGTTTGAGGGCAATGTGTAGTGTGAATAGTTCAGCCC